AAAAAAAAAAAAAGAAAAACACATTTTCTATATAAAATATATATGTATATATATTTTGCGGTAAGAACAGTTAACATATGGCCTACACGAACACATTTTAACTGTACAATACACTATTGTTAACTATGGGCACAGTGTTGCACAGCAGATCCCTGGAACTTACTTATCTGGAACCGAAACTTTATACCTGTTGAAACCAATTCCTCACTTTCCCCTCCCCAAGCCCCTGGTAACCACCATTCTACTCCGTTTCTATAAGTCTGACTATTTTAGATACTCCTATAAGTGGAATCATGTGGTATTTGTCCTTCTGTGACTGGTTTATTTCACTTGGCATAATACCCTCAAGGTTCATTCGCGGTGCAGCATGTGACAGGATTTCCTTCTTTTCTAAGGTATGATTATACCACAGGTTCTTTATCCATCACCTGTGGACGGACATTCAGGCTGCCTCTACAGCTTGGCTATTGGGAATAGTGCTACATGAACATGTGAGTGGAAATATCTCTGAGATCCCAAAATGCATGTTTTGAACTCACACAAAAACTATGTGATTGTGTTTTTAAAAGTTAATTAAAAGTTGTACAATACTTTAAACAATGAGAGAAAATATCCAAAGTCCTGCCCTCATCATATATTTATTCCTCAATGACTGAGTAGTCCTTTTCAGTTTTTAGTCTTATGTAAAAATATATAACACACAGCTGTGGTCACTATATAACACAATTTAAGTTTTGCCCTTTATAATTATCCTAAAATTTCCATACATGCTTACATTTTTACTTTTTTAGCAGGGGCATCATAACCTTTAAAGATCTATTTAGTAACTCAATCAGCCTGGGTTGTCTTTTATATCTATCCTGAGATATAAGGGTCTATTACTGTTTAAAAAAAATTTATAGCAAATTGTCCTAACCCAAATTTAGGGACTAGTTCACCTTTTTCTACAGATTATGAAGACCATCTTTGTCATGTATTATTCTGAGTTCTGCCTCCCAACTGCACCATCTGGTAGTGTTTAATGTGTTAAAATCAGAGCTGCACCACATTTGAGTGTACATGTTACTACTTTGTTAGAGTTGATAGGATAGTTGAAATATAATTTCAAAACATAGTATCTGTGGGACCCTGAAGTATTCTGCAGAGTCCTGAAGGTCAGATGGTTTGCTGAGCCTGGGTTGGAAAGCTCTTGGTTAGAATCGGATGCTGGACTTTGACTTGAAGCCTATGAGGATTTCTTGAAAAGTTTTAGGAAAGCATATGAGAAGACCAGATCTGGCCCTGGCTGGGTAGCTCAGTTGGTTTGAACATGGTCTGGATGCACCAAGGCTGTGGGTTCAATCCCTAGTCAGGGTACATACAAGAATCAACCAATGAATGCATAAATAAGTAGAACAACAAATCGATGTTTCTCTTTCTCCCCCCCCCCTTCCTTTCTCTAAAATGAATAAATAAAAAATAAATCTAAAAAGGAAGACCAGATCTGTACTTGAAACGATAATTTAAAAAGTGGTTAGCTTTGAGGGAGAAAGGAAGTTGACTGAAGGAGCAACTGCAATAATCTTGATGAAAGAAACTGAAACTGAAGGCCTGCATTAGGGCAGAATGAGCGAAGCTGGGGCGTTGGGGCCAGATTCAAAGATATCTCAAAAAGAGGAAGGAGTCAAGGTAAAAGCAGTCTTTAACACCATGTAGGGCAGGTTTTGAAACCTGTCTGATGTCTTTCAGTTTATAAAAATATAGAAAGCATCTCAGAAATAGATGTGTTCACAAGGTACAATCTTTAAAAATTTTTTTCAGTTACAGTTGACATTCAATATTATGTTAGTTTCAGGTGTACAGCACAGTGGTTGAACATTAATATAACTTACAAAGTGATCCCCCGGATAAGTCTAGTGCCCACCTGGCACCACACATAGCTATTACAATACTGTTGAGTATATTCCCCATGCTGTGCTTTACATCCCATGACTATTTTGCAACTGCCAATTTGAACTTCTTAATCCCTTCACCTTTTTCACCCAGCCTCCAACCCCCATTCCATCTGGCAACCATCAGTTTGGTCTCTGTATCTATGAATCTGTTTCTGTTTGGACTGGATAAAGAAGATGTACATATATGCCACAGAGTATTACTCGGACATAAAATAAAAATGAAATCTTATCATTTGCAATAACATGCATGGACCTAGAGAATATTACGCCAAGTGAAATAAGTCAGTCAGAGAAAGACAAATACCATATGATTTCATTTATATGTATGTCGAATCTAAAAAGCAGAATAAATGAACACACAAGGTATAATCTTTGAACACCTGAGTAGTCCACATGGACAGTGAACCAGACGTGAACCTCACCACTTGCCAACCTGCACCTCTCCTGAAGGGCTCCGCCGCAGGAGGCCACACAGCTAGGGAACCGCAGAGCTCAGATTTGAACCAGCAGCCTCGCTCCAGAGCCCAGGTACTTGTCTATTTTGCTGTTAACATTTGGTGCTGAGGTTGGATGAATTCAGCCTGTGAAAGTCAAGAGACAAATATGGTTTGGAATATAAAGGGGATGGGCGGAAAAGAGGAAACTAGAAGGGAGGATCCCCTTCTATGCCAAGTGAAGAGCATGGACTTGAGATCTTACAGGCAGTGGAGAAAACCACTGAGGGTTTTAAGCAGAAGTAACATGACCAGACTTGAATGCATACAAGACCATTATGGTGTGTTTGCTCCTTTAAGTTTCCTTACACCCTTAACACAACTTTTATTTTCATTCCAGGAGCTGAGCCTTCTCCAACTATCTCATGCATTTATTTTACTTTTTTTCTCAGAAAACTACATTTAAAATTCATTTTTATCCACTGAACAAATATTAAGAACACATTCACATTAGTTCATATAAGGCACTGCTTCAAAGAATCTATGAAAATAACAAGCTTACAAAATAGGTATATTAGGGGATGGTGATTTTCATTATAAAACAATACTTAAATTTACAGATACATGTAAAATGTAAATTTTTTGTCTTTCAAATCCACGAGAGAAAAATTATTTGCCTGAAGAAATTTCTTTCCCATATATTAAAGGAACATTATATGAGCGGAAGCATTCATACTTTTTTTTATGACCTAGTTAAAAACTCCTATTACTAGTTAAACCAGTCCAATGACAATTAGAAACAAATCTTCAAATATCCTCCATAGCACCCTGGAGGAATACTCCAGACACTGTGAAGGCAGGAAGTCCTGTTTGGTTTTTTTTTTAATGTTCTATTTTTCAATAATGAGAGATGATGTCAATGCATCATATTTTAGGAGAATTTAAATAAATATCCTGCAAGTAGAGAATGACAATTTACAGTCTTACTAACTCTGACACATTATCTGTATTCATTTGACAGAAAGATATATATTTATATACATATAAATTTATGTACATATAAATATATATTATATATAGCATAATACATGTTATATATAAAATCATAAAAAAAAAATAAACATTCCTCATTGTCTGCCTGGAAACACCTTTTGCTTAAAAGTTCTGAATTCAATTCTCCCAATTTTTAAAAATGTGGAAGTTAAGTTCTAAAAGATTACACAAAGAAGCCTTGGCCAGTGTGGCTCAGCATGGACTGAAGGGTCACAGTTTCAATTCCTGGACAAGGGGTCAGTCAAGGGCACATACCTGGGTTGCAGGTTTCATCCCCCACATTGGTGTTTGGGTAAGAATTAAAGAAAAAAATCACACAAAGAAAACTTTCCAGAATATGATATACTTGCCACAAATTACCCTTCAGAGCAAGGTGGAACTCTCCTCACCAGTTCAGAAAGTTTCAGGTATTTCTAAACAGCAGGTTTTCACACAGATTAAAATTGAACTGGCTTTCTGGAACCACAGGGAGATCTGTGAAGAACTTTTCTTTAATTTTTCAAGTTGAAGACACTCATATTTTACTCAAAAAGTACAAAATGAACTCAGAAAGTCATAAAAAAAAAAAAAAATAGTACAGCATGTTTTGACCATAAAAAGGCTGATCTTTTTCATGAGATTCAGAGTCACACAGAGTCCAGACTGCAAATGTGTCTTTTCCTCAGCTGGGAGCAGCCAAGGAGAGTAGGTCATATGACCACTGCAGACAGAGTTGCCAGTGCTATTTTCCACCCCGTGTGCCCTCTGGAAGGGCAAACCTGGAGGAGCAGCCCCAGCTGTGCATGCTAGCTTTGTCACATTCTGTCCCGCACCACAGCTATTACATGCCGTATCAGGTCTTGTGATGGGGCATTTGTTTGAATACCTGAATTTCCCCTCCATCCAGCTTCTTAAAATGTGTTGAAAACATGGGATATTACTAAATTAATTGCTCTCATGTAACTGGATAGTCTAACTTGGTATTCTGCTCCCTTAAATTATAATATTCATGGGGGGGGGAGTTGAGAGTTAAAAGAATACCATGAAAGGGCCGCTGCTTTTATGGACACTTTAAGTTGCACTGTGATTGGTCATGGCCTTGGTTTACTTGCTAAGGTCTCATTTAATTATCCTTGTCTGTTTTGCTTTGGTTCAAAACTAACAGCCATATCCCCAAGGCTTGGTCGGCCCTTAAATAAAACGTGTCTTGAGTTTGAACTTGGTCTTATTCTAAGTGCATCAATGGGCTTGAAGAAATCAGCCGAGGCTCATGTCCTCAGGAGTTGGTCAAAGGCCTGGAGAGAATGTGCGCGCCCTGCGAATCCACCACTGAAACCCAAATAAACTCAGGCTAATGCCTCCCACTTGTGCTGCGAGTACTTACAACGGGGCCAGGCGCTTTGCCTGCAGTACTGTAGGTAAACCTAATGCCAGCCCTGAGTGTAATAATCCTAACTCGGTTTAGGGAAGTTATGAAACTAAGGTCAAAGGAATCCACCCGCGTGTGTCTGCATCTGCTGAGTGGTGCCTGGGGTTCCCGGGACTCCAGGATGAAAGCTGCTGACATGTGCAGACTTGGAAGATGGGGAAGAAGGGGAGGTGTGCTGAGGCCAGATCCCAGGGGCGCGGCCCTAGTGCCCCCCGCTTGACCGGGGACGGTCTGGGCCAGCTGCCCGGTCACACCGCGCAGCAGGTGGCTCCTGACAGGTTCCCAGAGCAAACGCACCCCAAAGACGGGTGTGGGGAGAGGTGGCTGGGAATGGAAGACGGGGGAAGGGGCCAGGCCGGGAGGGGAGCGCAGCCCGGCACGGACCTGGAGAAGCCACAGGAGACAGTGCTGAGCCGCCCGAGTGAATGCCGGGCGCAGACGCACCCCTGACCTTGGGGAAGGCGGACACCACGCCCCTCGGGGCGACACCCCCGACCGAGGGACTAGGGCGGCGGGCGCTCGCCAGCGAAGCC